TGGGCGGAGGCAGTAGAATCCAAGGGAGAGGCATTGGCCGTTAGTTTGGAAATAGCGAAGGCCTTCGATCGGGTCTGGCACAAGGCGCTTCTTTCGAAGCTTCCTTCCTATGGGATTCCCGAGCAATTGTGCAAATGGATCACCAGTTTCCTTGATGATCGGAGCATCAAGGTCGTAGTAGCTGGTGTTCCACAAGGCTGCGTGCTATCACCAACGCTGTTTCTCCTGCATATCAAAGATATGTTGCTAACTGGTAGCATTCATTGCTATGCAGACGACAGCACTGGGGATGCCTTATATACCGGCCGTGCCAATATTTCTCGGGAAAACGGCGCCGAGTACCTGGACAAACTTGTGTCTGAAGTCGAGTCTTTGCTTAACAAAGTCTCGAATTGGGGCCGTCTAAATCTAGTCCAGTTCAATTCCCAGAAGACACAAGTTTGCGAGTTTACCGCTAAAAAGAACCCCTTTGTCGGATCTCCTCAGTTTCAAGGCACTCCCCTTGCTGCCTCAGCCAGTATCGGAATCCTTGGCGTCGACATATCGAATAGCGTGCAGTTTTGTGGTCACTTGGAAGGAGAGGCCAAATTAGCCTCTAAAAAGCTTGGCGTGCTCAGCAGAGCAAGACAGTATTTCATGCCGGCACATCGCTTGCAACTTTACAAAGCGCAAATTCGGCCCAACATGGAATACTGTTCTCATCTCTGGGCCGGGGCACCCCAGTGCCAGCTCCTTCCACTTGACTGCATCCAGCGCAGAGCGATTCGAATCGTCGACGACCGAGTTCTTTCCGATTGGCTCGATACACTGGCACTGCTTAGAGATGTTGCATCTCTTTGCGTATTTTATCGCATCTATCACGGGGAGTGCTCTGAGGTATTGTTCGGACTAATTCCAGCCGCTCAATTTCACCATCGCACATCGCGACAAAACTCGTGTTACCATCCATACCATCTGGATGATTGGCGGTCCACCACTGTGCGATTTAGAAGAAGTTTTCTCCCTCGCACAACTTCTTCGTGGAATCAATTACCACCAGCGAATTTTCCGAACCGATACGACTTAGGAACGTTCAAGAAAAGAGCTTACACCTTTCTAAAAGGCCGGCAACGCATCTGCAATTCCCCTGGTGTTGCGGTTGTTCATGGGCGGCGGTAGTCACTTACCATCAGGTGAGCCGCATGCTCGTTTGCCCCCTATTTTATAAAAAAAAAACTGCTACGTTATCTAATTTGGCACTAGAGTCTGCCGGGAGTGTAAGAAATGTCTAGACACTTTGTCTAGCAGTCAGGCTTCGAAAATTTTCACCTCTAAGTGACCAGTGTACTTAAACAAGTACACTCTCTAAAATGCTTTAAAAAGTAACCTTTTTAGTGTTTTCCTTTTATGTGTTTTATACGATTGCTGATCTCATTTTTCTGTTAAAAATAGCTTGTAGTGCTATTGACTATCCTGGGCTTTTATCTCAACTACATCTTAGCTGTCCTGCCTAACCTCATAGACACATTTCAGTTTTTAAACATTTAAGTCTCCCATTTGCATCTACAAATTATAGGCAAAATACATTTATTTGCGGAGCGAGCAATAATTTTAAGAAGCTAGCCAATGAGTTTGACTTCGATTTGTTGAACACTAGCGATGCGTCAGCCAACCGCATACTTAACAATGCATTTTTTGGTAGCTCTAAGTGAGATATTGATGCGTTTGTTACAAAACTAACGATTTACTTCTTTTATATTTGTATGTATTTTTTTTCTTTTATATGTATAATACATGTTATATCAGATAAGCCCTCATTTGGCATAAGTATGTTAGTATTAGATACTCGTGAGTGTTGAATCGTGTTTATCACTGTTGTAAATTCACCTTTGTATCTATTAGTGAGGGACCTTTAATTGACTTACTGTAGTTATTAGTATTATTTATCCTTATTATGATAGCTGTTGGTCTTCCAAATAAAATAAAATAAAAAAAATACTAATCCTAATATTAAAAAAATAATAATTTAAGAGATTAGAGTATTTCTTTTACATTTGTCTATTAATGGGTTAAAGTAAGGAGATTTGAATTAAACCAACCAGCTATCTCATAAAGACCAAATTCATTGAGACAAAAGTTTGTACAGTTTCCCTTGAGTGTCCAGAAAAACAACAGCAGTGTCATCAGCATAGCAGAAAATCCTTCCACCACCCTTTCTTAGTTTGCATAGTTTTTATATAGAACATAAATAGGGTCGGCCCCAGGACCTTGTGGTACTCCAACGCCAACAAACTGTCTTTACAGTTTGGCGAAGTTATAAAATTATATTATGTTTTTGTAAATTTTGGTAAATTAAAAAAAATTGACATTTTTTCATAGCTTTGAAAATTATCTATTTTAACCACTTGTTTTCTATCCGTAGTTAAGTATAGCTAATTTCGTAAAATGTTTGAATATTCATCCAAAAATGTTATTTAAATTTAATATTGTTTTCTTTTAACTCGGGTATCAATGTCGCGTATTATCTAACCAAATTTCAGTTTCTCCAAAGGAAGTCTCCAGTCGGTGAGACTGTCGTTTGCGTTTGCGTTTATTACGTTCCAGTTTTTCTATTTCTTCTAAAGGAAGCGTAACGATAATAATATCGCACATGGATATGTCTATGGTGAGTGCAAAATGCTAAATGAAAGTAGTTTACCATGAGCATGTAATCGCTTCTCAGTCATCTAGCACTGTATGTGACAAATAGAAGCGTTTTAGCCGAAATAACACGCTATGACGGCCTTTTACGATCTTACGATGCTGTACGCGGCAGATAGAAGCGGAACTGTATAAGTGTAATCAAAATCATCCAGCAAACGCGAATGCAGCTGAATAAATGCACTTAGTCCCTTACTCTAAATAATATTAACATGTTTACGTTCAGCAGCAGTGTGTGCAGAAAAATCTAATATAGGTTTCCTTATGTTGCACTGTACTTATGATCGATGTATAATAAGTATTTTTGTTGTTGTAAAATAAAAAACAAGTAATAAATAAACTTTTCTTGTTTTTTTATTTTTATTTTGATAAGTTAATCACTATAAAATAATGAGATGTAAATCATATATCAAAAACATTTTTGTCAAATTGAGGATTAAAAATACACATTATGTAATGTGATTGTGATTGAATTTTAATTACATATTGCTAAACAATATGGTTTTATATACCTTCTTAGTTTTTGGTGCAACGTTGCACGATTACCGAGAGTTATTTGCTTGCGTTTTATCATACGTTTTCATTCTACGATTCTACAAGTTAAATAATTATTAGATAACAATACCGGGTGTTTGTGAAACGCTCCCGAAAACGAAGATAGGCGATAGTACTAACTATACCTTTGATGATGGGTGAGAAATAAAATCGATCCTGAGGGGAAAAAAATCATCTTTTCACAACGTTTAGTAGTAACGTTATTAGCCTAATTCACATTCCATCATGTTAGTACAGCTAAATGAAACGATAATTTCATTAAAAAATCATGAAAATACTTAAACATAATACCACCAGTGATATCTCTATCCAGAGATATTTTTTAAATATGTATGTAATATGTATGTGTTTATAAACTCTTTCGGCGAAATCGAACACTGAGCGCATTCCTTACGGAGTTTACGAATATGTGTTGCGACTCGTACAAAATCTATGGAGACTTGCGTTCGGAGCGGCTTTTATCCGTTCTGGATCGCGAACACACAGGCGGTCATACGGAATCTCGAATCAGAGAAAATTCCGTACGGAAAATTACCGTACGTGTGTGGTGGGTCATACATTTTAAATGGACTTGCTGCGTTCGGAATTCCAAATTGGAATATCAAAACGGAATCCCGAAACGAAATTCCGTATGTATGTGGCCGGCCTTATTTGTATGTGCCGGATTATACACTTTTTGTCGACACTTAACAAATTTGGTTTTATCAACTTTTTGTGCTGTAGTAAATATAATCAAAAGAACAGTTATCCTTTTGATTATATTCAAGCAAGGTATAGTTTTTTTTATATTGCAAAAAGTACCCAATTCTAATTATTTGAAGTAATATCGATGTTATAAGGTGAGCGATTCTTAACTATTTTTTATTTCTAAACTACATGGGTGCAGTTTAAATAATATAATTTTTATGATGCGCTATTTGAAATACGTCTGTCAGTATTTTTTTTATATATTATACTCCAAATTCTGGGGTAGGTGGCTTATATTATGCATATTTTTTTTATAAGATAGGGTGACAAACGAGACAAACACACAACACACAGTGCACCTGATGGTGAGTGGTTGCTGTGGCCAATAGACATCTACATCTATCCTCAATTAGATGCGTTGTCACCCGTGAGGACTAAGATGGAACGCCTCTTTTTCAGTAAAAAGTGTCTCCGGTTCCCCCCACTCACCATACGAAACACAATAGTGTTAAGCTGCTATTTTACGCTGGTATTCTGGCAGAGCGTGGTCCTTCCCCGATCGAGCCGACCCATTCGTGCTACAGCTATACTACTAATATAGCTGCAGCATGACTCTACCACGTGTAAAATATATATACTAACTTGTCTATGGTTTATACTAAGGAAGTTGCACCAACACGGTGTCGTCCATAGATAATATACTATATAGGGTAGTGTCGTCCATCTTGTTTGTTTCTTTTTGTCTCATTTACGATTTTACGAATCAAAACGCATATTTTCTTTTTGTGATGACGGTTCTAAATTAATATGTAATATGGTAATGGTGCTCGTTTCTCGCTTATAAAGTTTTTAGATTGATTTACTCGTGCCTTAGATGTTAAGTCCAGTACTTTTCATTTTAATCCGCTATAAGTTCAGGTTAGTAATAAAACATTCTATTAAACTATCTGTCTCCTTTGTCTGCCGGTAATCATTTTTTACTTCATTATTTCGTGGTATATAATTTTGGCAATAAATGTGTAATTGAAATTAATAACTATGTATTATCATAAGGCCCTACTTTTAGGAATTCATAATCAATGAGCAATCGTGGCGATCAAAATGGCTGTCAGCCTCCGCTACCCGCACAGCCTCGGCCGCCATCTGAATCGCAAACAGAAACTGAAAAAGAGCAAACCAGTGACCAACCTAAGCAAATATGTCGTAATTATGTATGGGGTACATGTTCAAAAAATGCTAAATGTAAATTTCGTCATGAACTTGACGTAGAGGAAATGAAAAAAATTCTAAAATTTTGTCACGACTATCAGAATAGAACTGGCTGCACTCGAGAAGACTGCACATATCTTCACACAACTAGAGAAGAAGAAAATTTATTCCTTACCACTGGCCAAATACCTCGAGTACTTGCAGAACGCCATGCTGCAATGTCAGCTTCAGCAAATGTAGAGACTATACCTCAAATTGCTATGTTTATTAGGGACTCTTATGCAACGCCTACTCCAATGCCGACATCAGCCTCCCTGGTACCAGCACCTCTTCCGCCCCCAGTACCACCTCCCCCTTCTTCTCGGCCAGCACCTCCTGCACCGCCGCCGATTCCAGCAATACCAATGATGCCGGTAATGCCTTCCATACCAATCCAACGCCCTCCTCCTCCTCCTCCACCACCTCCAACTGTTCCATCAGCAACTGTGACACGTACCACTGCACCTGTATACACAGGTTAGTATTATTGTATGTTATGCTTATTGTTTCACATTAAAAAAAATTTCATTTTAAAATCAAAAGAAATAAAAATTTTGATTACTGAAGTCAATGTAGTGCTTGATTGTTATTACAATACACACAAGTTGGTGCACACACACATTAATTTTTATAGGTGCATAAATTTTTATTAAATTATTATTGTGCATTAATAGGAAAGCATACTTGTTTATTATTGTGTATTGTGTAGGTGGTGGTGTAAGAATATCCACTACGCCATAATATCATCCCGTGGGTATCTTAAAAGACAACAAAAGGAAACAAAAGAATAGATGGGCAACAGCATCAGTAGTAATTAAAATAAAAAAATTGCAGTTGTTAACCCACTTGCTAAGCGTGGCAACTATGGCAAATATGCCCCCTATGAGGCAATGTATGGGGAGGCCTATATTCAGGCTGTAAAGGTAATGGTAATAGAAAAGCATATCAAACATCACACCGTCTTGTGTGTACTACCATTAAGATTGTTACAGTGGCAAGTAGAATATATTGCTAAGCCATTGTGTTTACTAATACTTTCCAACGTACTACTGGTTTGATGTCACCTGCTGGGCTGGTTGCATGTGCACCCCTACTTTTTCCATTTATTGTATAGTGGTTAATTGGTTAGTGTCCTACAAAATAACTATTGCTGTTTAAGCCTAATGAAATGTTCTACATATGGGCAACATATTTGCCAATATTATTTGCTATGGTATGAAATTTCGTAAATCGTAATTTTAATATATATTGTGTTAAGCAGGTTTATATACTTAAAGCTAATAGAGTTTCAATGCTATGTTTTAAGTTTTATTTGCAGTTTAATAAACTATTCACTGAAAATACATAAATAATACAATGTTTCTAATAAAAACCACAAAATCAAAATAACTTGCAATTGAGCACAATCCGAATTTTGTACAGAGATAAAAATGAATATGACAGCGTTTTAAATAGGAAGTTTATGTATCTGGTAGGGTATGTGACAAATATTATTTAGAAATAGGTTTGAGCGTAACAAAGTTAAACTGACACAGAACATTTTATAGTTTTCACACATCTGGCAAGCTTGCCACAAGGAGTATTGAACCGTTGAGGCAACTGAAAGTACATTTATTATAGATAGCATTGCTTTATTCGGAGAAAATAAATATTGCTTGCAGCAACAGATGTTTTAATGTAGAAGTAGAAGTAAGGTGATAGACAAGCACCCAGTTCACCTGATGATAAATCAATGCTATGACCAATAGGCCACAGATATGTTCATTGATGATGTCTTAGATTGAATGCCTTGTTACCGGTGAAAGGGAACTCTGCTTCTTTGTAATCACCATAGGAAACACAGCAGCATCATTCTACTATTTTACCCGTGACTTCTTTCACATTGCTTTAATATTAAACAAGTTTCTTATGTGCAAAGAAAACCACATCAAAAAGATTGCAAGCAAAAATATACTTTGCTTACAAAATTTCTTTATAAACAATGTTATATGTTGCTCCATTTGTAACTATAATATATAAATTATCTGGGTTGTAGTACAGTTGGCCTTGTAAAAAACCTCTTATAAAAATTGTTGTTTCTTAAAACTTAAATAACTTTATATTAAATGAAGATATCACAATAATTTTTTTTAGATAAGGGCCAAGTGTCTAAGAAATAAAACTTAGAAAACCTTGAAATCTATCCAGTAGGTTTTCTGTGATATGTACACAACAACAAACCTCTATTCTGTGGTATTTAATATACTTTTATAGTCCTTCCCCAGTTGAACTAACATTTGTGATGCAATCATAATACAACAACTATATGTTTCAACTACATATCCATTCTTCAGCACTACGCCACTAGTGCTTATGCAAGAAATTGGTGTACATCACCCACTTCATATCCTGATTGACCCCATTAGTATAACAATAACTGTGCAGTTCCATGCACATATCAGCTCTCTTCTGAAGTTGAATTAGTATCTGCTCATGTGACAACCATACAATATACCCATACTTTTCTAAAGTGCTTGTTATTCTTTTGCAATATGAGTACACTAAAATTTCTTTGCAACAGCATGACGTGAATCTGGGATCCATTTTCATGTCTTATTAATTTTCCACATTTTATGTAGGAGGTCAACCTTAATGAGATTTATCAAACAGACCATAATTTTCATCCATAGGCTCCTGAACCCAATGTTTGGTGGTCAAGATAGCATGACTTTGCCCATTGTTACACACATATAACATATTGTGCACTGCTTCAGTTACTTTACAACTTAAACAAAATTTCTCAAATAAGAGCAGTTAGATTCTTATGAAAATATCTATAACTTACTACGTGAGGTCCAGTGATGCAATTATCTGACAGCCAACTCTATTAATAAAATAAATTGCTTCAAGAAATTCTAGAACATTCTAGACCATTATTGAAAAAAGTAGCAGGGTTGTTAGTTGCAAACCCAATATTTAACTTAATTTGATTGCTCGAAGGCTGATAATTTGAATGTATATTGTTGTTTTAATTAATAAATAATTAAAAACACTGAGTTTTCTTGTAAATCAAATAAATCATATACATAATTGTAATTATTGATGTCATAATTTTGGCGCATAGAAATTATATATTGTTAAAGCAACCTGTTGCTTGCGATAGAAGTGTTTTTTTAATAATAATTATTTATTGATAGTTATGTCAAACTAAAAAAAATAGTTATGAAATTAGAAAATATTAATTTTATTTTAAATGATAATTATTTATAGTTTAAAACCACTTTTCAGCACCACCCCCGCCACCACAGACTACTCCAATGGTTTTTCCAATGGATCAACCTCCACCACCTCTGCCAGTTATGTAAGTATAGTCAAATCTATGTCTATTTCTATATGGGACATAAGACTGAATCTATAGTAAATTTGATTTAAGGTTTGATGCAAGTAAGCCTCCTCCACCATTACCAACTCTAGTACTATCAAAAAGTGGTGCAGTTAAACACAAATCACCAAATTCTAGTGAAGGTGAGTAAATCTGTAATATATCCATTCATTTGTATGATTTGTTAATAGCAATTTATTCACCTAAATGCTTAGCGATATAACTTAAAACAGAGAAAAATGTAGCTCTAGCGAATATTAGAAAAAGTCAATTAACAAAAAAAAATCAAAATAGAATTGGTTTTCAATATAAAGTCTGGCTGTTAATTATTTTGTTTTTGTAATGTATCTAAGTGTTTATTGAATATTTAATTAATTTTTATCTTAGCTTACTTAATATACAAATACTTGATATTTATATATTTTTTCATATGTTTGCCTTAATAAATTTCTTGTTTAGAAGTTTTACATGATTGTATTTTTTCTTGTAGCAGAATCAGCAAGGTTCTCATGCGAAAACATATCACTCATTAATTAGCCAGCAAAGAGTCCACCATCAAAATATTAATTCCAGCTTACTATTTATGCTATTTATAATTACAACCTTGTTTAAAAATTATATTTTTACAATATTTTGATTACGTAATTGCTTCAAAGATGCCTTTTGAATTAAACAGCAATATTTTTATTAAACGAACTATAAAATCATGAAAATTTATATCAAAGCTAGCACTATGTATGTTAATGTTCTTATGAAATTTAAAAATCATGAAGTATCAAAAAATTATAATTTGTCAATTCATTATTTACTAGAGATTAGTTTTTGAAACTATAATATAGTATTTAAAATCAATTGTGTCTAAATCATCAAGTTCTATCTGGCTTGGCGCTTATTGATTTGTTCTCAGCTGGACCAAGCAAAATAAGGAAGCCAGAGGACTCCAATGTTGCGGACGCGCATTGCGAAAACTGTGTCCAACGCGAGATCAGGTTTGGCAATATCGCAATTTGTACTTATGTAAATTGTTTGCATGATATAAATCTGAAATATATATTTATCAATAGTTTATGTATACTTATCAATAAATTGTTACGTTATAAAACGTCGTGAGTGAATGAGCGAGTACCTTGATGCAGAGCGCGTTTTCTTAAAAAAATATATATTTTTAGCGAAGTTTTAGTGTTATTATACCTGCCAAATTCTATTAGATTGATGCTTTAGCTTTAATCACTTGTTTCGATTGGCTAAAAAGGCTTTAATTACGGAAACGACTTGAGCGCGCCATCTGTCCAGAAAACATTAATGCTGTGCGAGAATGTGAAAAACTAGTTTTCATTAAAGTATTTCATATAGTTAATTAATCTAAGTCTTTCTACATAATATATACTTATATACATACTAATAAAAAAATTGGCAGTTACCTACAAATAAACTTAATAATAGAAACAGAATGCTTAAGGGCACCACTATTAATACAAATAATGAAATTATATTGTAAAACTCGCGAGTAATTGCGCGGCGTTTACAACAAAAATACGCTAAATTGTGGTTCTCTTTTTTTAAATTAATTTTTATCTTTGACTAGCTGGTACCCGGCGCGTTGCAGCCGCAGAAGCAATAATTACGGAAATATCGTTTTAATATTGTTTAATTGGGAATGATAATACATTCATTCAAGTTGAATGATATATTACAAGTTTCAAATAAATTTATCGGTACGACACGCGCGCCACCTACTGTAAGTTAATTGTACTATGCCTATAACATTCGCACAAGTGCAAGCAATAAGTTGATAAAGTTTTACCGCAATCTGATGAACGGTATGGCAGCGCATAAAATACGAACAAACAAAAATATTTTTATATATTAAACAATTAAAAATGCTGAACTCTATGTTTTTAACAAATTTCAATCTATTGAGAATGTATTTTTCCGTAGGATTAATTTGTGCAGGCAAGAAATGGATAAATTACTCAGTGAAGAGGAATATAAAACTTTACTTTATAAAAAGAAACTGGAGGAGTATGAAACTGGAAAAAATATATTGAAGTCCCTTGTTAGCCCTGAACTTTTTGGGATTTTGGAAGAATATATTGAGGTTACTCTTTTAAGTTTAGTTTCTAAAACTTAGAATTAAGAATTTATCAATATTTATTCATCATAGTATCATCATTGCAATATATCACTAATCCACCGCTGAACATAACCTCCCTGCATGATCCGCCAGGTAACTCGTTATCATCACCATCTATACTACTTAACTATACTTGTTTGACACAAAACCAACATATACTGTGATTTGTGATCGTTTTGGTCCATAAATATACAATTTCGTAATAACTTGACTACAGTGTACCCCATCGAATCCTAGCAAAGCTGTGAACCATAGTCTTGAAAAAATAAGTATTTAAAATTATGATCTCAATCGGTCAAATCATTCGGAAGTTAACCGGTTCAGTGCGGGTGACACGCCAGGCGTGCCATCGATTACTTTTGTGTGTGGCGTATGACACGCGAGTCGTGTCTTTTTTTAAAAATCCTTATAACTTTTGATTTTTTGGAAAATTTTAAAAATTTCGGGGTTGACAACCTTTTTTTAACGTGTACATGGTATTATTTTTACTTTGTGGGTTTTAAATCATGTTATTGTGAAATTGTCTAATAAGTAACAAATAATAGCACTCATTGGGATCGCTCACAAACTCAAGTTGTAAATAAATTTCTGGAAAACAAGTCTTCTGTTAAAGAAAACAATGCGTTTGTCTTATTGTTTAATTTTGCTTAAAATGGTTGAACTGCCGTCTTATTACTATCATATGGCCGAATAGACCTACGAAGTACCATGTGCTCTTGTGATATGGTATAAGGTTTATTTTTGCTTGAAACAGTTCGAAACCGTTCATGCATACAAAAAGTTCGCTAATAAATAGTCTTTTGTCAATCCACCGCCGCATAGCGCCGGCGTTTTTTTCCTTTTGAAAACACTTGTTTTGCTATTCTTACTAATTAGACGTTTTCAGATCGACTTTACTTTTACATTTGTATAACATTAAATAATATTTAACATTTGTAAATATCAATGAATGATATACCTTTTTTTTTTCAAATTAAGGTTCTTAATTGTTTGATATTTACAAATGTTATTATTAGGTGAAAATCAACTTATTATAGTCAAATAAACTTAATTAGGTCTAAACAAGTAAAACAAGCATAAAAAAGAACATTACTTTTACACATGGCGGATGGCACAATTGGCGTGTCATTTTTGTCTGTGACGCTTGACACTCCCGGCGTGTCATGAAATATTTGTTCGCCGCCACAGCTAAAAGTTGTCGAAAATTGGTGCCGCAACGAATCGGTTAAATGATCACTAGCAGATGTACCAAAAATAATACAATATATAAAACGCCTCCAATTTGAAAGGGACACATAGATACCATTAATCGGTTACTAGAAGTATGCGGATATCCCCATTTCTAAGTCTATCACGCAGATAAATCTCGAGCATGATAGACTGCGCGACCTTGAACTTTCCCAAACGGCCAGCAGTCAAACAACACGTCTCAGATCCATATGTCACTTTTTTTTTAGTTGTACAAACTAGATTTCAAGTTATACCTGACCAGAAGATGTGTCGTAATCTTCCGAACGCTGCCCAGCCGAGGTGAATCCGTTGATCGACCTCTCTGTAGAAAATGGACCATGTACTCGTGACATCGAGCCTAGTGCTCCCAACAACTACCGGCATAGGTGTGACATGGACGTTTTACATGACCTTTGTATTGTCCATGTTCATCTCAAGAATTATACGTTGGGAGTACACTATCGACGTCATTGACCATAGTGCTTAGGTCCTCCAGCGATTCTAAATCGTAAATCTTTCGGCATGTCTTGCAATGCAGCGCTGAAGAGTTTTGGGGATATAGCGTCATCCTTTCTTACAACGTGTAAGACAGGGTGATGTTAAGTACAGTTACATAGGTTTCGTACTCTGGTTCAGTACTCGGATAGGTATCGTAACTACACTGTACGAATACTTCAGCACTTCGATATATCAACTGTTAACTTTTGCACCGCCGAAGAGACCGTAGCATCGCCCAAATTTCGACAGAATTAAAGGCCCTCTTTCTTCTGTACAATTTGTCTAAAGGTTTTTCGGAAAACTGGATTTCGTTGAGTCTATATATGAGACAATTCGTAATGACTCTTGAAAACAGCACGTAGACGCGGCTTAAAAAGGAAATTGGCAAGCAGTTTCTCACCAGAGCGTTGAAGCCTATCTTGAAGAACAAGACCACCGCACTTCTGTTCCACGCCTCCGGAGTAGTGCCACCATGGAGGACGGAGTTCCCTTTGGTCTTCTCTCCCGCACAGCTTAAAAAGCTTTGTATAATGCAACTGTAGTATACCATTCAGAGTTGACTGACCTACAATTTTCCAGCATTTACGTCGACAAACGTCCACTCCGCGAAAAAAAGTAGCCAATCATTTTTGCCGACGCGACGTTGCGATGTCTGCAGTTTTGACGGTAACTGTCCTTCTGAGTAGACCCACACCGATGATTGCCTTTTATTTTCCGCATTATATTGATAGATCCATGTCTCGTCACCAGTAACGATTTCTGAAACACGCTTAGATGCCCCGTTTTCAAAACGTAGAAGCATTTCATGGCACCAATCCACACGAGTCTGTTTTTCGCTTTCGGAGAGCAAACGAGGGATCCATCGACAACAAAGCTTCCTCACTCCAAGATGTTGATGTAGAACCATTAAGTCTGCAGGTCTGCAGTTTGCTTGCTTTTTATCTTGTGTGCGTGGTAATGCCATGCTGCAGCTATATTAGTAGTATAGTTGTAGCACGAATGGGTCGGCTCGACCGGGGAAGGACCACGCTATCACAGAATACCAGCGTAAAATAGCAGCTTAACGCTGCTGTGTTTCGTATGGTGAGTGTAGAGAACCGGAGACCCATTTTACTGAAAACGAGGCATTCCATTTTAGTCCTCACGGGTGACAACGCATCTGATAAGATTATAAGAGTACTTTGTGCTATGCAAACAATTAAAATGAAAGCGAATGAAGTTATTATGCAATAATTAACATGTGTTTTGATCAATATTAACGTTATAATTGCAATCTGCATTTTGATTCGTAATCAAGGATAGATGTAGGTGTCTATGGGCACCACTTACCATTAGATGGACTGTGTGCTCGTTTATCACCCTTATCCTATAAAAAAACTTACCGTTTCCACGAGCTTGTAAATTATATCGTCCACTCTATTGCAGTCTTCTAGGCACTGAAATCGATTTTGTAACTTAAGCTGAAAGTTTTCGGCTTTGTATTAAATCTCGAGGCGGGCGGATGGTTGGCTTCATTAGTCGTGACATCTTTAACGTTCAATCTGCTTTTCACCATTTGGTGATCGCTGCTAGTATTCACCGTCGCGATCACTGAACAGTTGCCGTTTAGTCGTCGTAATAGTCAATCTCATTTTTGTCGAATCGTCGGCTCGACTTGGTCCACTTTCCGTGGGGTCGCTCCTGAAAGAAATAGTTAAACATAAAGAGTCCCTCTTTCTTCAGAAGTTGGCCAGCTATTAGGCCCTTGGGTTCCGTTGCCCTAACCCAAATTTCTCTACCTTCAGCTCACCGTTCTTTCTTATGCCTAGTTTTGCGTTAAAGTCTCCCATTAACCATTTTTTACGTGATAGAGCCGTGCTGCAGCTATATTATGGTTGTAGCACGAATGGGTCGGCTCGACCGGGGTGGGACCACGCTCTCACAGAATAGCAGCTTAATGCTGCTGTGTTGCGAATGGCTTTTTACTGGAAACGAGGCACTCCATCTTAGTCTTCAGGGGTGACAATGCATCTGCATTTTGATTCTTAATCGAGGATAAATGTAGATGTCTATGGGTCACAGCATCCACTTACCATGAGGTGGACTGTGTGCTCGTTTCTCACCGTTATTCTATATAAAAAAAATTAACACATTATTTCATTTCCTTCCCATGGGGATGTGCCGAGGTTGGTACGTAAACCTGCTGTATGAGTATTTGTATGGCTGTTTTTATGCAAAATTTTTATTACCTGACAACACGACGGTATCTTTAAACGAATGGCGGAATAGTAGCAACAGCGCACTAATAATCACCGCTGCGACAGGAGTAAGCGCAATAAACAGACTCTTGTAAGCATTAAAAGGAAGACACACACACACCACTTACTTTCTCTTCCTTACCGAAATTAAAAATTTTAAATACACATAATATAATATGCATTTGCCTGACAACTAAAAACTAGAAATAAAAAAGTAATAATAATGAAGCAAAAGTAATAATATATAAGGTGGTTTTCTTTACATTTTCTGGTTAAAAATTGCTTCAAAGTGATTAAAGTTTACATATTGTTTGTTTTTCAGGGTGTACCACAGATACAAATCAATAATGTTTTGTCACAACTTAACCAGACACCATTTACCTCGGTAAGTATTAATTATTTTTTATTTTATAGTATTTTGAATAAACACCCTTATTAATTGGTCTATATTTTTAAGGAAATGTCAACAGTCCCAAAACAACTTCTTTTACAAGTTATGGAGTGTTTTCTTGGAAATACAAGGGGTTTAATTGAGTCTGTAAGTATTAATGTTGTTGATCGTTGGCAATTTTTTTTTCATTTATTGAAAATGTTAAAAGACCTCAAATTCAAATGCTACAACTTTAATATTTATATTGCAGACTGCAAGTACCACACGCCGTTCAAATGAAACATTTTTGCAAGCTTTGTCAGCGCTAAACAGGAGATCTAACCAGCCATCATCTTCAGATGTTTTACAGTCATTAATTGGTATTTTACGCAACTGTAAGTTATTGTGTACTTCTGGTTTAGAAGTTAATACTTGTCTTAATTTTTTTTAAATTTATAATAAATGGCAATTTTTTTACGTTAAACTTATCGCGTAATCTTTCTCATTGCAGCTAATACAAGCTCCGATAAACCACATTCGAGTAATCTAAGCAGTGAAATTAGTAGAATAAGTTCACTAACAAAGGGCAACAATACAGCTGCGAATGGCTTTAGCAGTTATGTTAATGGTCAGAAGGCAAATAGTTTCCCTACAGTGTCTATGGCTGGTACAGTTCCATATTCTAGTACCAATGTAGCAGCCAGAACATACTCGGCAGTGAATGTTATCACATCCACTACATCTGGGAGTCAAATAACTGCTCCGTCAGCACCCTACACTTCATATCAAATATCTATACCACCACCACCACCACCACCTAGGACTTATTATAACCAGTCGCATACAGCATCAAGTTGTAAGTAGTTTTATAGATTTAGTAGTAGTTTTATAAATTTTATAGAAAATAATTGTACCTGTACTGAGGACAAAGGAGTTTAAAGAATAGATATCAAATGTGAAAGAGAGGTTGTGGAGTGGCTAGAATTTGTAACTGTAGTATTAATGGCACAGTAAACTTATGAACTAAACTCCATACAAATGTCCAAACCGACTCACGCACACATCATATTGACATAATATAGTCGAAACTGTATAAATATTTTTTATGTACAGGCACACAGAATATTTCTTATAACACAATCAATCGGGCAAGAGCACCAGTCACACAACCAACACCACCCAGGACATCAACATCAGCAGCCATCCCTATTCATCATGGAAGTCAAAATTGTAATCAGTATGTAATGGGAAGATATCCACCCCCAAATTATTACTCTCCATATCAATAACATTTTGGTGAGTTTCAATTTACCAAACGAGGAGTTGCTACTGTTTAAAGTAGTGTTTTGTGAAATATTAAATATTATTATTTACTACATTGAGAGACATTTTGGAGAGACTAGTGAATTTGTTTAATTTTTGTTTGTATGATATATATTTGTATAAATGTTTTCTATTTTATTTTATTGAATTTGACTGAAGATTGTTTGTAGATAAGCACTAAGTTAAATATTAATGTCTTGCTTAGCGGCGAAGCGAAGGTGTAACAAAGTTAGATGAGTTAGATGATCTGCCTTTTTAGAATTAAATTATTTAATAAGTAGGCATTTATCTTGAAGGTTGCCATAGTTGCCGAGTTAGGGAGGCGGGTAGGCAATCGCAGGTATTTTTATTACAATGGACCCTCAGTAATCCGGCCCCTGGATAATCCGCACACCTTGTAATCTGTCATGCCTTTAACATGTAGGTACAATCGAGTCGCGTTATGAATCCGCCACAGGGGGAGGAACATACAAGTTTCAATTAGTTCGCGCCATCACGAATCTAGCATGATTATTATTGCGCGTATTGTGTCAAGTTTAATTGTGACTATTGTAGCAGCCCAGCGGGTATTCATTATTTACTGTCAAGTATTCATTATGTATCACATGACTTTTATTTTATATTTGATATGTAATTTGTCAGATTACAAGGTACTCTTTTTTAAAAAGTTCCGGACTACCAGGGGGCTGTGGCAGTACTCTATAGTCCGACAAATTTGATAGCCCGACACCGCCTAGTAAAACGTTTGTCGGATTACCGCGGGTCAACTGTACTAAGCTGTTATCAGAATGTTGCCCCTGTCCATCTCATGACTTATTTACCTACTGTTTCCTCTTACGACACGGGATGATATAGAGTAGTGGAATTTCTTACGCCAGCAAACACAATTTAGATTGATACTAGATGCAATGACAACCTCATAAGACATGCAAATGTGACTCCTTGGAAGAGGGCAATGTTCAGTAATGGACTTGTGAAGGGCTGAAATGATGATGATGAATAAGTGAATGCAATTTGTTTAGATTATAAGAGTACTTGTGCTATGCAAACAATTAAAATGAAAGCGAATGAAGTTATTATGCAATAATTAACATGTGTTTTGATCAATATTCCTTTAGTTATTATTGAAGTCCCTTTAGTATTGAAGCATGAATAATAAAATAAATTCATGTTTAATTACCACAATAGTTTAATGACAATATTTTATAGACAATCATACTCATTTTATTGCACAAGAAATGATGTATGGACACCATTTTATAATTTAATACACATTATTTCTTGTTTAAGACAACTGGTGCCTACCATCTTTTAGCAATTTAATATAATATTTTGTGTATATGTATTTTTATATATATACAAATATCATTAATTTTTTAAATATATCATTAAAAGACAGGAATGATAGTAAATGCAGGTAAGACGAAAGTGATTTTTTTTAAAAGGGGAGAAGTACAAACGATATCTGAAACTTTGAGCGCTTATCCAGTGTTTGTGTGTTTAGGAAGTGTCTTTAGCAGGTATAATAGACATGACAAGGAAAGATAATAAAGATTGCATGCAGGACCCAGGGTAAATTAGGACTCTTGACTCTATTGTGGAAAGTAAGATTATGTTAATAAAGTTATGTATATCAATTAAAAATGCTGACTTATCATGCCCTATCTTAGTGTATGGTAGCGAAAGTTGGGTGTTGCAGAAGTATGATAGTAAAGTTAAAGCTGTAGAATTGTGGTTATTAAGAAGGTTAGGGTGAAGTGTGAGAAGCTACGTGATTTGAAAAAAGTGTGTTTGCAAGATGATGTCATGACAAGGATTAATAAAGAAGTGCTTCGGTGGTTTGGACATATGAAATAATGAATGAGGATATGCTAGACTATTATATATTCACCTCTAACCCAATTTGATTGTGTAGTTAACCGGTTCAGTGCGGATGGTACGCCAGGCGTGCCATCGATTGTTTTGCCCAAATTGCGTTTTTGGAAGATTTATCCAAAACAAAATATTCATTATTTTGCAAGTATTTCATGCCTACAGCTTCGTTTCTGCATATTTTGAAATTTTTAGGGGCTTCAACCTTTTTTTAACTTTTACATGGTACTCTTTTTACTTTGTGGGTTTTAAATCATGTTGTGGGAAAATAGTCTAATAAGTAACATATAATAGGACTCATTGCGATCGCTCACAAACTCAAGTTGTAAATAAATTTCTTGAAAACAAGTCTACTGTTATAACAAAACAATGCGTTTGTCTCATTGTTTAATTTTGCTTAAAATGGTTTTTCTGCCCTCTTATTACTATCATATGGCCGAATAGACCTACGAAGTACCATGTACTCTTGTGATATGGTATAAGGTATATTTTTGCTTGAAATAGTTCGAAACCATTCACGCTTAAAAAAGTTCGCTAATAAATAGTCTTTTGTCAATCCGCCGCAGTATAGCGCCGGCGTTTTTTTCCTTTTGAAAACACTTTTTTGCTATTCTTACTAATTAGACGTTTTCAGATCGACTTTACTTTTACATTTGTGTTACATTAATTATATTTAACATTTGTAAATATATCAATGAATCATAAACCTTATTTTTTCGAAATTAACTACTTATATAAATTATTTTTTTATAAAACAAAAAATAGTACAAAAGATTTGTAATCTCTGCATAAAAAAAAGTCACTTACTCTCAATTTCAAAGAAAACACGTAGAAAAACACATAGTTAGCCACTAAAAACAAGTATCCTTCCGTTTGTAACTGATGTTTGATGTCAACTAAACTTTTAGGTCTAAACAAGTGAAAAAAGCATAAAAAAGAAAATTACTTTTAAAAATGGCTGATGGCACAATAGGCGACGCTTGACACTTGATTCTGTGACGCTTGACACGCCAGGAGTGTCATGAAATATTTGTTCGCCGCCACAGCTAAAAGTTGTCGAAAATCGGTGCCGTAACGAATCGGTTAACTTAATTATTATACCATAATATGTACAAAGTGATTGCCTTAACAAGGGAATAAATAAATTTGTGAAATAAGAATAAATAACGACATGCAATAATCAAGACTGAAATGAAACATAGATAATTGGTGTTATAATCGACGAGTATATGTGCTGTGAAAGAAACGAAAAAGTGAGAGTTGTGTGAGGATCATGCCAAATTAAGCTCTTTCTCTTCCTTACACCACTGAGTAACAGGCATAAGACTTTACTTTTGAAATTATGTTACTGGGAATAATCACTTTTAGAAATTGATCTTTAGCATCTGCAATTTGATATCACAAAACACATGTTATATTTTAATATTTGATTTGTTTTATTCCTGTAAATATGTACTAAAGTATATTTTTTATTAATTCTGTAATGGAGTAATCATAACTATAATGGATATTTAGCAGATGTAATTAAAAATTGTTACATAATCCGTATTTAGTTAGGCTTTTAATAGTTTTTATACCTACTTAAGATAACATTTTTAAGTCCAATTAATCATAATAATTTATATCTATGAAACTTGTCCTATTTGCAATTTTTTTTTTCAATAAATGTAAATAGTGTGCATTTTGTGAGATTTTTAATTGAAACTGTGTACAATATTTTAGCAAATTCAAATAGGTACATTATTAAAAATGAAAGCGTATTTTCTGCAAAAATATATTTATGAACCTTTGAAATACTTGTTGAAATTTGCACTAATGTGTGTAAAACTATTTCATACAGTGTCAGCTGTGGTTTTGATTAAAAAAGTTTGCTATGCTGCATATATTCTAATTTTTTAATTTAATGAAGTTTTGTCATTCTTGATTGTCAATATCAATAATATTTTTATATTTAATTCAGTCTTTTAAATATAGAGGACTTGATAGTTTTTAATATTTCTTATGTAATTTATAAGTCAACAAAAACAGTTGTAGGCTTACATTGTTGTATTAAAATTTTAAAGATATCAATAAACAGTAGATTAACATTTGGTATTTCATTTTACTTTTGGTGGTTTTAACTTAAAGTTTATTGTTTGAAAAAAAGCTAGTCAGTAGTAAGTTTTTACATAAAGTTACAAAATACTAAATTAATTGCTTACCTAATCCTATCCTGGCATCCTGATTGAACCGTGTGCGTGCATTTTTTCTGGCTCATGCTGCTTGCTACTGTAACATAAATGTAATTGTCCATTGTACTTCTTTTGAAGATCATGTGTCCTTTCACTTGACCTAAAGTTTTGTTTGCTTGTGCTATAACATAATTGTTTAAATTCTGGTATTACATTAACAGTTTTTAAGTATGTACTTATTTTAAAGAGGTCAAGTATTATAATGTAATATTTTTTTTCTTAATTCAAAAATTTCACACTAACATGTAGCGATTTTTGCCAATAGCTGAAAAATTTGCTTCAACTAGTTGTGCATATATCTAGTCTAAAGATTTATTGATGATTTAAAAACTTTCTTATATTTCATATCTATTGCAAAAGTATTTCTTTTATTGCGATCATTAATTTAAAATTTATGCCAGGTGCCAGGCAGCCTTGTAACTGATCTGAAGCAAATAGAAAATATATCGCAGATTAACCCATATCAGCGATTTTGAAACTCTCCCTCCTTAACATGATTGCAGTCAGTTACATACACATATTTTAAATGTCTGTGATTTTCTTGGCGTCAAACAAAGTAGTAAAAAATAACTTCTAATAAATTGGTTGAATTTTCTTACCTATTCTAAAGTGCAAAAACTTAGTATCTATATATGTTATTTAATAATCAGCCATGCATACAGTTGTGTAAATAAAGTTAGCTAAAATTCATTAGTTAAGTTTAGGATTATTTTATACAGCGAAATCTCAAACATCTGGTCGTAGTTGACCTGAACAAAACAATTAGCTGAATGAGTAAAAGTGCAGGTTGTTCAGATTTTCATCTTAATGAGCATGCTGCTACTGCCACCCATGGATAACTATTACAAAGTGGTAGAGTAGAA